ATTGAAATGAATACAATTCCTGGTATTTACACTTACGGTAGATTAGATTGCAAAGGGTGTATTAGTTTGCATATGTGTCATACCAGCCATCATGGATTGCATCGGACACTGTCTCATCAAAGCATTATTTGTGAATTCATCTGTCTACTATGTAGAATACGTACATTTAATAGAAATGTTATACATGTGTAAAATGCTTGTGATGTTCTAGTATGCATAACATCAAAATAAAAGATATCTTATATAAATATTCTCTAGAAGTTGTATATAGACATATCTACATACAAGCCTGCAAATTCCCTCTCCTTTCCCATAGAGCCATCTACTGTACGATGTAATCCTTGTCAGTAAAGTCTAAAACAAAGACTTGTGTTCTTGGTTCTATTCATCAAAATCTTTTCTCTGACATGCCTAGACTGAATTGTTCAAACGTGGTACAAAGACAAGACATAATGGTACAAATATGCAAGTTGATTTTTTTTTTCTTTTTGATAGTTGTACATATTTGACCTAAGAAACATTTGAACAGGTCAGTTGCTGATCCATGTCATTTCTTAATTTGATTAAAAATGGCCGGCAAACAGCCATATCAGTTCTGGTCAAGGGAGTTTTGAGTCTGAATGCTACTTAATACCAGTAGTATTTTTCAATGTGTAGTTGGTTAATAAAAATAGTCTTTAACCTGATCAAGTAATATGGCTCCCTCTATGGCTTTGCTCACCAAGTCTCTTGTTTTGAGTTGGCGCATACTATACCAAGCCACTAGAGGCCAGTAATGGTTCCGGCATTCTGATTGGTCCATCACTTTCCCTTGGTTACCTGACATCAGTGCTTACGCTCGTGGCCCTAGAGCAGGGGTTTCCTTTTACTCTCGAAAGTTGGGTGAATAAAAAACATTTTTTGTTTTTGTTATAAATTTGTTTGTACAGAAACGAGAAATACCAGAAACATCTCAAATATGCAAGTCTAAGCAGGTAGAATGTATGGGCATGGCATAATGAAGACTTGTTCACAGAAAACGAATATTAGAATATTTTCAAATTACGCACTTTATTAGTCACGTGGCTTTGAGCCGGAATACCGACCCAGTGGAACAATATGGCGATTACCAGTTACCTGCAGCCTACTAGTCATTCACAAGGAACGCCGGGAACCATTGAATTGTTTTGAGAAAGTGTGCAGGAAATAGTCATAATAGATAGAAACTTGTGGATTTAAGATCAATGTCCTATAGCATTGCAATAGACATACCACACATACACACAAAAATTGTCAACATCAATGAATGCCTTTACACCTAAATGTTTATTACCAAAAGCAGACTTTTGTTTTACAAAAGCTTTGACAACGTATGTACACATGACCACAGACTATATATCAAATACAATTATTAAATATGTTTAATAAGATAAACAATGCTCTTTTTAATATAAGCAAAGTTTTTAAGTTAGTATCTGTGCAAAGAATATGTAAAAACTTTTCAAATACACAACCAATGATGAGAAAAGACACTGCCAACAAACATTGTTTGTTTAGGCTGGTCTCGACTCCACTGGTCCTTTCAAAAAAAGTATTTTTATTAACTTATTGAGACTTGCCTTACTTTGAAAAAAATACAGTCATTTTGGTCTCTTCTGTCAAAATCATATTTTCACAATATGGTCACTTGCAATATTTTACAGTAACAAAGATATCATCTTTGTGAAGATTATTATTGTACAACAATGTACAGCCTTTCCCATATTGATGAGAAACAGTTTCATTTCGGTTTAAATGAACATGTTTGTGAAGATTATTATTGTACAAAAATGTACAGTTTTTCCCATATTGAAGAATTCATGGGAAACGGTATTATTTCATTTTGGATTAAATTATGTTTTCCCGAATGACGAAACAACTTTGCGTTATTTCATACTCAAACAGAACTTTATTGATTTATTGATTACTCATCTAGCATTTATTAATAGCGTATATCAGTGGATAATGGTCAATCCAGCAGCTATTGGTATAATCATGACCACAAGTGCCATCCCATGACCTTTACCAACAGATATGCTGATTATAAATACCATTTGTGCAGTTGACAGAACTATATAGAACTACAGTAAAAGTCACTGGTGTGGTCACTGTTCTTAAATGTTTAATACATCCTTGTTAAACAAATGTATATTGTATGTATTGAAGCATATGACTGGATAACAGGCTCCACGACTGCTAGAATGCAGTCAGAACAAGTTATACACTTTGTGTCAATGTAAGTTACGGTCATAGTCCTGAGACTACATTTACATCTTTCTCGAGTCCAATATAAAACATCTTACTTATTTTTACAAATTAAGATTATAAATTACAGAACTGGTTCTTTGTCAAAAGGCACATCTCGTAGATTATTGCTTTTTTTTGTATTTTTAATATTTGTATGCATGCAACCATGAAAATATCTAATGAAAACATGAACTGAACATTTGATATTGGATACAAACTGTATTCAAATAATATAAGATAATTCACAATATGTAATGTCATCACGGCTGAGTAAATGACCAGCAAAACTCAAGCCCAAGTCTTCCACAAAAATCTTATTTTCACAGAGATTCAAGAAAAAAATTCTAACTAAATGATTATATGAAAGTTTGTAAACAACTCATAAACAGTCCTAGTGGGAAGGCATCAAATTTAAGGTGAGCATTTTTTTTAATTTTTTTTTTATTTATTCATTTCAAGAAAGTAGAAAAATTCATGTTTGTAAATGAAATGGAATTTCTGTGAAAATAAAATATTTTTGAATATCCACTCAGAGTTCAAGGATAATGTACTAATCCAAGGCAATTTTTTAAAAGCATAAACTCCTTGTACCCAGTATTTTTTTTCAATAGAACAGTGCATCAGCTTGAAAGGAGACCATACTCTTGAAGAATGCTTGGATATGCCCTTGTTATAGTTACTTATTTGAATACAGTGTATCCCATCATGCACTTCAACAACCATTGTACATTTCAATGTAAACATGCACATTGCTGTTAGTGTACTATTGACCTTTCTGTAAGCATGCACATTGATATCTGTGTGTACTACTGACCAGTTATGTCTATGTAAGCATATATTATTCTGTAAGCATACTATTGACCAGTCTGTAAGCATGCATGCATATTGTTATCAGTGTACTATTGACCAATCTGTAAGCGGTTATGTACATTGTTGTCAGTGTACTATTTACCAGTCTGTAAGCATGTATGCACATTGTTGTCAGTGTACTATTGACCAGTCTGTAAGCATGTATGCACATTGTTGTCAGTGTACTATTGACCAGTTTGCAACTATGTAAGCATACATAAATTTGTAAGCATATTATTGCTCAGTTTGTAAACATAAACAATGCAGTCAGCATAATATTGACCATGAATCACACGCAGTGTTAACGCTCTTCTGTCTCTATGTGTAGCAATATAGCTTGTCAAGCATACAACAACAGCTTGAAGTCATCATTACGAGTAGTCAGTTGGAAAGAGCTGTTTACTGGCGATCTTTGAAACAGTCTTCAGTTCAGCCATGTTTACATTTTCCAGAAATGTCCACCCTCGGAAGGAACAGGCAAAGTCTGCAGAATTGAATCCTGAAGAGAGAGAGCAATAAACATTATTATAAGAATAATTATATATACATCAATGCTAACTCTTATCACCATAGTAACAGCTGTAGATGAACTTCCATGGCTACTTTTATTATCACAGCAATTATATTAAAAACTGAAATTTGTCAAATAAAACTATATGTTCACCTGTTGAGCCAATTCCCTGTCAAGTTCCTTGATTCTGTCATCCCTCATTTTATCAAGACTGTTGTCACTGGACACATCTGAAACGCAAACACATATATCTGCTGATTCAGATAATCATACAAAAATGTGCATAATAACCTTTTCACCACCAGACTTTCTTGCCCAAATGTTTTTGTACTTTCTTGTATTTGTCAATATTTCGGGAAATGAATTCTAATTTTAGAACCAACAGACAAAATTTTCAGTTTTTACTCAAAAAATTTGGCTATTTTTGTCCCAATCTTCTGACAAAAAATGTAGACTATGAACAGAACTATTTTGTAAATTTGTCATGATGAAATGGAACTGGTGGTGAAAAGGAAGACAAACTTGTGTACATAGCAACAGTGTGATTGTGACTATAACAGAATCGAAAAATGCTAATACTTGAATCCAGAAGGAGTACCAGGCCCTCTACACTACTACTACTAAACAACCATGCTCTCTAAAAAGAATTGCTTCCAGGACCAATGATTCTGATTTTTAGATAAGTGTTTCCTTACCTATTGTTAACATTGGATTTGAACTATTCAACGAAGAATACGAATTACTGAATCCCATCATCACTTCCTGTGAACCTAAACCCTTGCCAACTGGCTTCAAAGTAAATGTAGTGTTTCTGTTGTGATCCCGGTGATACATTCTGTAGAGATCCGTGAGATAAGTAAACATTCTGTAGTGACCCATGGGATGTACTCTGTGACGATGCTTGGGACACACTTGGGAGCGATTCGTGTGTCATGGTCACTTGGTATCCTTGATATACATTCTGAAGTGATGAACCCTGTGGAACGTGCTGCCAAGAGCCCTGGGCAATGTTTTGTGATGATCCATGTGGTGACGCTGTTCCTCGCAATAATCTATCCAGGGAAGCAAGTGCTTGGTCTTTTTCAAGAGACTGATGCTGCAAGACTGATATCAATGCTTGCTTTTCATTCAAGTCTTTTGTCAAGGATTTTACACTGTAATGGAAGTAGAAAACAAGTACATTAGGAATGTAAAGTGAAGTAGTTTTTAAACTGCATCTGAATTGAGACTAATAAGGTACTTCTCTGTAGTACTCAACTGTCCAGCTAAAATATAAAGTACTACACAGTAGTGCCTAAATTAAAAATAAAGTTCTCCAGGATAGTGCCTAACTTTCCTTCACTCTGAAAACCAATTTTCTGTTCAGTATTGCAAGTTCAAACAAATCCCCAACAGCTAACTACATGTGATACTGCACTTACTATTGGTGCACATAAAACAAATTGACATATTTTGACCATGAACACACCTTTGTTATCTCCATACACTCCTAATAAACCAAATAAAAATATATAAATTTTATCATCAAGCGATATGTGTAACATGGTACTGTGAAATAATTTATTTTCACTGGAATTTTGTGTGGAATTTATTTTCACTGAATTTTGGTAAGTTGAATGTAGAATATAGGAAAAAAGGTATATTCGCTGGATTGTATTTTCACTCAATCACTCGAAAATAGTGAAAATTTATTCCAAGCGAAAATAAAGTACTTACTGTGAATCTAGTTCAGTACATCTTTTATTAATTGCTAATAATTCCTCCATGTGTTTAACTTTTTCATTCATGAATTTTCTTTCACCTTCGTCAGCATTCCTTTCAGCAGACAAGGATCTTAGGAGAAAAACAATTCAATTGGAGTCAAAAAAACAACCTAAACATTTTTTTCTTTTGCATAGAGCCTGAACCCATCCAGATGTTTTGTTTTTTTTATTGAAAAAGAATGATTTGTCATAAAAGCTGTATAGAATTAAACTATGTGCCAATTATGTGAGTCCCCTAAACAAACCATCCCAGGTAGTCAAAATATATTAGTTGGTTATTTTAAATCTACAGTTCTGACTCGAATTAATTACACAAATTAGAACATATGAAAGGTACTTACCTTGGACTGAGTCTTGGATCAATACATTGCTTCAATGCAACTTCTTGAAGATACCTCTGTTCCCACTATAAGTAGAAAAAAATAATTAACAGAACTAATTAGACATAAATTTCACAATTATGTCGTGTTTCAATGGGAAACAAAATTTCCTCCAGAACTAACAATTATGTTTGTATTTCATGCAAGTCCCCTTTGAATTGTAACAAAGACTCATCATCTCATTGTTTGAGTTCTTGTAACCCCTGAAAAATGTATTTCACAATAATGAGAACAGATATTTGCCCTTCCTCTGGTGCTATGGTCTAAGTTATAAATTACCTTAGTAACTTCTGCTTCTAAGAATAATATCTTTTCATCACGTTCTTTAACTAGTTCCATTAGGGTTTGTGAGTTGTTCGGTGAATCCAGTGATACACCTTCATCGTGTTCTTGACTAGCAACAGCACGCTGAAAAAAATAACATATATATATATAAAATCGGACCACGCCCACCATTATGGTGTACTTTTTTGAATATCATCATTGAAGGAGTTTTAAGGTGGTTGCCATTTTTACTCAAATGGAAGGCAATTATTACAGTTCAACTGTATGCAACTTGTAAGATTAAAAACACCACATAATAGTTTATCCCATACCTGATGTGCTTTGAGACCATCAAGTTCTTTTTCAAGTTTCAATCTGACTTTTCTTTCTAATTGTTCTCTTTTGTCAGAAGCATTCTGAATGGCCACCAAGGCTTGCTGAAGCTTCTCTACTTTGTCAACGTAAACTTGTTTTCTTTGGCACTGAAAATGTATAAATATCAATTATTGACCGATATTGTTGGCAGGTGAAGTGACAACGATAAGTGAGTAATTGGAGAGTATAATATTTAATAAATGAGTCACTGACCTCTTCCTGCAATCTGACTACATTAGCTTGTGCATTGGAGAGCGCAGTGTCTAATACATCTATATGAGTCCTCTGTTCGGATAACGTCGCCCTCTGAGCTGCCAACTCAACTTCAACTCTGCTTTTATTGGATCTATCTTCTGTATCTGAAAACAATGACATGTCAAAGAAATCAGTGGTACTCTCAAATGGTTATCATTATCATGGGTGGGGGTGTGGCCTTCAAAGTCTGTAAAAGTCTGCTTTGACCAAAATAGACATTTAAAATCATCAAAAATATATTCCTAAATGCATTTTCAGTGTGATTTAAACTTTTTCAAAGCAACTTGTACCATATAGCTACATGCATACCAATAAAATAACGTCCAATATAAGATCGGTTTAAATAAATTATTGTGATGGAGCAAATAATATGGTATGTTTGGTGAATTGTCTAACGGACAACAACCTCTATAACATTTCAGACATACTGTAATAAAATTAAAATGGTGAGGTCAGAGGTCAAACCACAATAAAATATATATATACTTACGTTGATTCATCAAGTGCCTATAGATTTCGTCTCTTTTTCTTAGTTCCGCTTTTAATTGTTCATTTTCAGCAATCAGAGGTGATTCTTGGTGATGTAAATGTGCCTTCAGACTTTCAACTTGTGCTACACCAACAGAAAAATGCAAATTAGGCATAAATGAAGCAAAAAAAAAGACTTAATTGAAGTCTTGGGAAACAACAAAACAATTCATGGTGCTATAGATTGGAAAATGTTGATGCAAGGTAAAAATCGATCTTAAAATCACCTTCAAGTTCTTTGTTTTTTTCTTGTGTCAGCTTGAACTCTAACTCAAGTTTGGATCTCATCATCTTTTCAAGATATTCACGTTTGGCAGTGGACTTCACAAGATACTCGTAAGAATTTTGTACTTTTTCAATATCTTGTTCAAACTGCAAAAAAATTATTTCAACAATGATATCAATTAGACATTCATAAAAAAATATCTACTTTACATTAAAAATATTTCAGTATTATTACTAATAGTTTTACTTGTAATGTCAATATAGTATTCCTCTATCAGTGCATGAGTTAGGTAGATAACAGAGGTGTGTACAGTGAAAATAAGTCAGATTTTTAATGAACCAGTTTACAATACAACATTGGTTTATATGCACTCCTATTGGAGATGTACTTCTAATAGAGAAAATATGGTATACTATATAGTATACTGTAAAATACTTTATTTTCGCTTGGAATTTATTTTTGCTATTTTCGCTGAAGGGGTGATTCTGTGAAAATAAAATCAAGCGAATACACTTTTTTTTCCTATATTTCACATTAAACTCATCAAAAAATCAGTGAAAATTAATTCCAGCGAAAATAAAGTATTCCACAGTACTACATGGAGAACCATTGTTAATGGGGAGAGTGGTATTTTTGATGCTTGGATGATTTCTATATTAAGAATCAGTGAGCATCATGCATAAAATTAATAAAATGAATACTTGAATATTATCAGACACTGAAAATTTACCTTTTGTAATTTGCTGACTTTTTGGTAGTAACTTTCTACTTCCTGTCGAAGAGCAGCGTTCTCATCAGATAAGATTTCCACCATCTGAGTTGCTCTTTCCGCTATTGCTTGGTGGTCTAATTGTAGCCATGACTTCTCACCCGAATCACTTGAACTGAGAGACAATTAATGATATTACAATAGCTTGAAAAAAGTCGCTATAATTTTGAACTGTTTTTAAATCAACAACTGTGAAATCAGTGAATATTTCATGTAACCTCTGCACAATTTTAGGAATTCTTCAAAATATAGTAATTTTGCATATTAATAATAAAATGGTTTAAAGTAATCGATGACCAACAGCAAGGCAAATGAAGATTATCTCCAAACATGGAAACATTCTCCCAATTAGTATCTTATTAGTGACTTATTTTTGATAAATATGCCAATAAATTTTCTTGATGTGAACAAATTTGCTTAAAATAGGAGACTTATATTTTTTCTTGTATATGAAAACATAAAATTTTCTCGATTTAGAGAAAAGAACCTCACTGAACAACCACTGTCACCATTTTCTTATTTTAAGTAATTTTTTAATGATTGTTACAGTCACTTTCATTTTACAATTTGCATAAATATCGATTACATTCTTGTTCAATTTTACCAGAGCTGACCATAAACATTCCACTAATTCAACAAATTCTTTGGTTATTTTTAATTTTTTTCAAGGTGTTCTCAGCCACACCCCACATTCCATCCTTGCCTTACATCAACACATCTGTTTCAAATTTCTAAATAATTCTTCCCAAAAGGATGGAATAATAGTGTCTGTCTTGTTTTACAATACAATATAAAATTATTGATTTCATTACAGTTCATTAAAGTATTTTTCACATATCTACCATTTTTGTCGAATGTTGTACATGCTCAAAATTCACACAACACATTCTTGCTCTCATTTGATAATTTTTTTGTCTTCATACACATATGTGATAGCAACAATATTATGTTACCAGTCGCGTCTTTGTTGTCAGTTGCTATATTCCCAACAACCTTTCTTGTACCATATCACATCAAATAATAAATCTCTGTAGTGCTTTACATATCATATTAAACATCACACATTTGTTTCAGTTATGGATTTTTCAAATATTACATCAATCAATCGATCAAACAAACAAAAATGTTGTTACGAGGGTTAATTGTTTGCACATCACGGTAACTACTTAACTTAACTGTGTTGTCTAATGCCTCTTTGGAACAAAATCCTTATGCAAGTCAAGATGCAAAAAGCTGAGATTACCCATCATGCAATTTGATTATTCTTACCTCTCACTACAGCTATCATCAATTTCATCTTTTGTTGGCAGACTTCCATGCATTGACCCTGTAACTCCAGAAATGTTCTCTTTTGAATCAGAATTTGAACATCCCACATCAGCATTAAGTGATGATGCAGCAATCTCTTGTCCAACCGGTTGATGAGTGGTGATGTGTGAATGGCCAGGATAATCCGGAGGTGGAGGCCTCTGATCATCAGAACCAGAGATATCCAAGTCTGTTGTCCTAGCAACAATTTCCTGTTCAATGTAACTCCTACGGTTTATAGCAATGCTATGTTGAGGACTCATACTACCTGTACGACCAAGTTGCCTGGATGACGCTTTTGTACTTTTCGATAGTTCATTTGGAAATGGCCCCCTGATGTTCTCCTGTGACATGCTTTTGGAGAAGTCAATTGACTTTAATACTGGCATTCCAACGCTGCTGTGTTTGCATAAATGTAAATTATCCATACTTTTCGACATTGGAGTCGTTGAAAGTTGTCCTCTTTTGCCACTTTTAGCCTCTTCATCCTGAAGCAACTGCGCAAGAATACTTCGTGAACCGTCTTTATTGTACATTGGATATTCATCACTGCGGTGATGTTTATGCCGCCGTCTCCGTGGAGGTTGCACTGGCTCATTAATCTCCTGCTTAGTTTCCATGGTTTCCTTTAAATGTATCGTTTGCAATTCTTGCTTATATTTTGGTGCATTCAGTTCCATAATAATTACACTTTGTTCAGAATGCACAACATTTTTATCGTCTTCCTTCAACTGTAGTTTCATGACGTTGGTTCTTTAACAGTTACAATGCAAAGAGGTTAGGCCGGTCAACATTGTAAACTTTTGTTCCTACGAAAAATAAAAAAAAGTATATGTTGGTTTATGCACAATTACAAAGGAATGCACCACCATACTCTACTATACAGTATACTAGTACTGTTTAATTGCTACTAAAATTAAGCTGTTACAAACTCGCCACATTCTGCTAAACTAAACGTGGTTTGTTGTTTATTGGCCTGGATTGTGAGAGCGTTGGGTGTGGTGTGTTCTTCATTAGCAATGAGGGTCAAAATGTCAGGTAAAAAGATACAGGTATGTTATTAGATCTATAAAACCTGTTGAGTCTGATGTACGACAAAGTTAATTTTTTTTTTAATTCTTCTCAAAAGTTAAATTTAGAGTCAGTAATGTGGGAGGTAAATATAACATTTTGATAAATTTATACAACTAAGCAATTTGTACTCGGGTGTGGCTAAAATCCATTAATAAATACTACTATTATTTCCAGTTCATTATGGAGTTTTACTTATAGAATCACTACCAGCTATTCATACCAAGCTTAAAATCTCAGTTCCAATATTAAAATAATATTGATACATTTTAGCAATATCAAAATTGATAATTATATCAAACAGAAGAATTTATGTCAGTGATTCAGAAGCTCACCAGACATCAGTAACTTGCTGGTATTTTTTCAAAATTTCCTAAATTGGTTTAATCATTTCAGAAAAAGGTCAAAGTATTTTCTTTTAAATTTACTGTTTTCAACCCAAAATATGGCAAATAATTTGAAATGTTCCACGGTGCTAGTTGCCGTTTCAAAAATGTCCTAAGCTAATTTTGAGAACTCTGAATCCTTGAATGTATGTAGGGGTGGATGCAAGGTATACTGTGTATTAATTGATGAATGATTTCAAGAAATGATTAATGAATAAATAAGATTTACAAGTTTAATAAACTGAACAAACTACTGAAATATAAATGTAAGACCACCAACTACACATACATAAGACCACCATCATACTAGGATTAATGCTAAATTACCATTTGTATGTTTCAATTAACACCCTATTTTTAACGAGTATCTGATGGTGTCCACTTACTTTGATCAGATGGGTTTATGCTTGACAAGACATGTTACATTGCAGGCTCAGAGTATCTTGGTAACCAAATTAGTTAAAAAATGCCACCATATTGGGGTACTTATTTAAAAATAGAGTTACTCCTATAAGGAATGTGGTCCCTCTTCAAGAAAGGTCAGCAGGGTTTTGTGAGTTGCTTGGCAACAAAGAATGCAATGTCCTGAACAAATACATTTCAATTTAAAGAAACCTTTGGTCACTGAATGAAATTGGGGCGCTGAGCCGACTTCACAAGTCACAAGTGGGCTGGCTAAACAAGCAGCTGCTCCATGAGTGGTGGGTTTTGGCATACTTTATTTTGCAACTAACAATATATTTTTTTTCTAACTGAGATTAGTAAGTGGGTCTACTGTAGTGATAGACAAATAAACGGTATATCTCAATAATTTCATAGTACTGCTTAACTTATAATTGTGTTGTCTCCCCAACCCCGTACTTCTAAAATTCTAAAAGTAAAATATCAATTGTTTTATTTGTGTTATCTTTCAGAAATGACAAGTTTAGATGTCTATTGCAGTTACCCATATTTGTCATGGTTGAGTGGTTCTCTGTATTTTTCAGTAATGCGCTGGCTACCCTTGACATTCCAAAAATATTGTGACCTGTATTTTTCAATGACATGTTTGATAAACTGAGATAAATTTCCGATAAGCATTCCAGAGTAAGAAAATTACAACTATCACACAGAATTCAAGATATAGATCATACAAGGAATTGAATGCTATCATTCACTGCATGGATATTTTATGCAAAGCGAAAACTTTTTTTTATTTTAAATTTCAAAGAATGTTTAATAAAATAGAATAAACAAAGTTCATACTAAAGCCATTCTGCCACCCTTAAACAGTGTCACATTTCACATTGTCTTTAAGTGAGAGATTTCATCATATTCAGCTCCAAACATGCATTCGTTTTAACACAAAAATAACAATTACCGGTATTACAAAGTTTGTTACAAACTGAGACCAACAGTTTAACAAGATATATTAAAAATTTTTAATTTGATTTAATAAGTTGCAATCACCATGCCTGATATATAGAGGAAACATCTTGCGTAATGACAAACAAACATACAAGAAAATTAAATAGACCGATTGCTATAAAAATAGCTTACCTTATTTTCTTTTGGTTGCACATAAATGGCATGCAATTAAGACACAGCATGCGACTTGACTAGGCTGAAACTCAGTGCTTTGTAGAAATGTAAAAAAAAAATATTCTACCAGAACTTGTCTTTTGTGAGTGTTAGTAGTGATTATGTCATCTGAAAATAAAAGATAAGAGAGAAAGAATGTTGAATAAATAAAATAGAACTGGTTACTGCCCTTGTATAATTAATTATCTCTAACTCCAGGCAAGTTCGCATAGTTGAGATGCCAGCAAAAATATTTCTGCAAAATGATCTCTTTAATTTAACAAACAGATCTGTGTTTAAATATTCTATAATCAAGTTATAAACTTTTTTAACTAGACATTTATGAGGTAAATGGCTGTGACAAAGTGGTGAAGACAATAATTTGGTGACAGGAAATCTCTGTTATCATGTCTACTTTTCACAATTTACTGTTTTATGGGACCTTGTACAACTAGGATAAGTCAATAATTTAAGGCTTCATTTTACTGTTTCATGGGTCCCAGAATTATTAGCAGTACCTCAATGTTGCAGGGCTTCACCAATTAAGTAATGATAGCTCTATATATAAATAACAGTTTTGGAGAGCAATCAACCATATACATATGAGCTAACATCATTGAAGTGTTGACTTCCCCTTTAACCCTTTTACTCTGATATGATATGAGCGCAGATAGTCCCTGTCAAAATGCACAACATTTGTTTTGAATTTAACAACAATAATGTAGTAGAGTTTGTGGACAATACACAAACTGAATACTTTCTTAGTGTACACGATCAATACCGGTAATCTTAAAACACATAGCTCTTTTACAACATAACCAAAGAAAAAGAGAACTCCACCCATTAATACAATAGAAGTAAGCCTATATGTCCTCTTTATTCCTTCCCTGGGCCAGTATGCAAGGCTATTATGATACTATGCACTGCAATCAAACTCAGATCTTATCAAATTATTCTCTGCTTCATTTGCATTAGTGTTTTTTACCAATGTTTTTTTTTTACATTTCATGTACTTATGATCATAATTGATGCAAACAAAATTTCAGTCAACCAAAAACACAGTTTCCAATTAATATATGTATACGCATCACATGAAAATCTGAACATTTTACTCTCTGCATATTCATGTAGCAGTATAAAAAAGAAATTGACAATAAACATAGCTCATGCACATTTAAATAAATTGCATTAATTAATGACTTGGCAAATATGTACATATTTTACTGTACCTGCATTGTCAGAATGTATTTAATCTTCAAGGCTATACCACCCACTTCTTTTCATAGGATGAGATGGTAAATACAGACATTGACATAAACCCCTGTAGTGAATTACCTTGATATGGCTAAGTGATAGACATACCTTAAAAACCTAGACAATGAGTCAATGGCCTAACACCATCAAGCGCATGTCAGTGTGACAATTTGTTTTTCAGGGATTGGAGGAGGGGTAGGGTGAAGATAGTGCAGGTAGTATATGAGATGCGTATACTATCATTTTTTTTTCTTTTGATGATACAAATATTATTTTTGTTATTCCTTTTTTTAGCTCTAATAACAGTCACTCAAATATGATCAGCATGCATTGTTCTAAATTCCAATTCTAACATAATATCCTTCTTCTTCTAAATAAAAGCAATGACCCAGCCATCAAAATCATTTATCCGGGATGCACATTGAACTGAAAAATGTTTAGCATAGTTTTATTTCAAACTCTACACAGGGATGCATTTTTGGTTTAGTGTACAGAAAAATAATACAAATATATTAAATGGTAACATTCCGATTACATGCATAAAAGAATATGGTATTTTAGTTATTGAATATCAATCTTAATAAAATTTGCCAGATATAATATTGAAGATGGAATATTTACTGAACTTATTTGCAAGGTATGTGCCACCTCATACTTATGAAACACATCAATATGAAAATGCTACAGCCAGGATGCTGTGCATATTTAGCAATGTATTTTACACCGATTGCACAAGTACTGTGGGACCCATATTTAACCAGATTTACAGTTATATCTGCAATAATTTGTCAGCAATTATTTTTTTCTTAGTTTCTTAGATCTCAAATTTTCTATATATGCACAATATATATTCAATATCATTTTTGGGGGGTTGATAAATTATTAAATACTATATTTTTAAACATTTTTTTTTTCAATTATTTAATTGGCAGCTTGATTTAGTTTTAAAAATGACTAAATAAAAATACATATACAGCCATAAATTGTCAATCACTGTGGAAGTGTACCTACCACTGGTGGGTTTTCAACACAGCGAATCAAATAAGATATGTTTACGTGCGTACATATGTGTAATACTAGTACAGCATGCTGACCCAGTGGCATTTCTCACATTCTAAACGTTGCTATTCTGTCTCTAACTCAAAATACAACATGTAACTAGAAACGGCATATTTACAGTGCAACACATGCTGAAATTTTTTGAGTAATTAGTCATTGTGATAGTGATTATAAGGCGGGACCGGACAGAGTATAAAATATCTAAGGGACAAAGGGACGAGTAGTAATGCGCCAACAATGTACGGTACGACATAATTGCCACCCCCAGCAAAACCACAAACACGGGTGTACCACTAGATCCATGATGCTTTCGCCGAATAAAAATTAATGACAAGAATATTATTCTAAAACTATATACTGCAGCGTATAATTATATAACTTTTAATTAAGCTGTGAAATAGACTATAACATTATATAGTCTCGCGATGTGCCCCCCCCCCCGAAATCGAAGAATATACACGGCGGCGTGCATTCCGCGTGGTGGATACGTTGCTACCGTAAAACGCCATTATTATTTGTATTTTTACCACTATATTCGCGCATGAAGCACTGAAACGACGATGATCGAACCAATAACAATCGGGGATCACTGTCCATTTCAATGAAAAACTCTCAGTATTCAAATTCAAGCCCAAAACACAGTAATATGCGCGAAAAAGATTGTTAATTTTATGGCACTGGAAAGTGACATACCTTCATGTCCGCGTGAAGTGCAGTGAAAACAACAACAATGGAGTCAGATTCGCACGAAACAGAGATCACCTCCGTGTACGCACACACAGAGCTGTCCAAAATACGGAAACGATATTTACAAATCGGTCCACCCTCAAAACAATAGTAAAGAGGAGCATAAACATGGAGGTACCTACCTTCTTGGTAAATTACGGGTGGCGGGAAAGCAGCCAACACATATATGGAAGCGCAACGACCACAAATATGCCCTATGAATCAATACGCAGTGGAGGAAAGCTATTGGCAAACAAAACACGACGTCGCTCTGCTATGCTAGGAATTTTAAAAAGTCGATCCACACAAAGATCAAAAGACACCGCCCACTCAGACTACAGTATTGTGCAGTAGAGGGGTGCTAGGGTATAAAGGATGTGATCGGCGTGACGTATTCGATTTCCCTTGTTTCAGAGAAGTAAAAATAGAAAGAGGAAAAACGACAATTGAAACAGAAACTACGGATATACACATTTTAATGGAAGTATGAAAAACTATCGCTGCACGCTTAACATCTGTATTTAAATAATTGATTCAACTAGAAATGTCGATTTTTTATGACTCAGGGCTGAACCATTTCACGTACTGTGGTCCGCGCTGTATGGAGGCCGTGACCTGGTATAGTGAAAAGTATTCTGCGAGGAACACTTTTCTTTCAGAGTCGAAATGAATAAAAAAAAAAGTGAACTCATACAACAGATGTGTCTACATAAAGCGTATACGTCATCCAAGATCACTTTACAAAACATTTTGGAGCGATGCCCAATATTGTGACGAGGGTCCAACAACTTATATCATGACGAATACGTAAACACTTCATTTTTGTTCGTTTTCGCGTGAAAACCCGTACCAAATTGAAGAACAGTTGTTTTGGCCATATACTAGAATTATTGGCAATGCAATGTTTTGCTGATAAGTAAAATCCGCTAAATTAAATTCGCATGAACATGTCAAATTACAATAGAACGCATTGTTTCACCAGTAAATTCGTAAAAATCATATAGCGTCAATGAAAATAAATGGTTTTACAGCATATTGTTCAATGATGGATTGTTAGTAGAATTATATGTCAACGTTAGCAAATGTGTTTCATCTTGAAAACAAAACAAAAAACACGTTTTGCGAAGCATACAATTCATTTGGATTTTGTTTTCTCCCCATTTACTGCGTTTTGAACAAATTGTACCATTATCCGCACTCTAGGCTACCACAATATTCTCTGCATATGATCCGAGATGTATTAAATCCGTATGATATTAAAACCGAAACAACCACTTTACGGTTTATGCAAGGACATCTAACTTGAAGTGAATCGCCTCGCCTGGAATTTCGAGGTTGTTGGGTATAGTACTGCACGTGTGGACATTGCGAGTCGACAAAGGTATATGGCCTTGATGCTATGTCTTCGTAATGGGAAGTCGTCAGCGTTGAACGAAAATCTTAATTTTAAAATGCCCTTTTAACTGAAAATATTTAATATCAAGAGTATATTTGAGTATTAACTGATACAGACCTTGATTTTCTTATTAGTCCGATTATTTACTTTGTAAATATAACCTATTTACACTATTTATAATTTATCCATTGTCAAAACATTGTAATACTATGATTACACATTGGAATGTGATTGTTTTATCTTAAATGTTATTATGCCGAACAGTCTTTCTTTTTAATTAGACGTTTATAAATGTAAGCCTGCCAAAACTTTAAGGGGTTCGTCCGAACCATCAAAACCCCACACCATGTACCCAAATCTATGGGCCTACCACGTATCGTAGTTCGGTCGAGTGTACGAAAGTAAAGGACCATCGACTCGGAATTACGATACTAAGTATCCACTACTAAATATTTATGTTAAGATATAAACGCAGTTTGCCAGGACCATGCCAGTACCCAAGTACAAAATGTACAAATACTACAGTTTGATGATTATATTTTTTACTATAAATAACAGTAAATAAGTAAAAATGGGACCTTAACGAAATCATGATTGGCGACGTAGTTGCGAAATGATGGTGTTATTATCGCAATCCATTTTGTAATTAGATATCACAATTTAATTTAGTTTTTTAATTACAAACTACTAAAACAAACTACTTATAGTTGTCTGAGTAGTAAAGCCGGACTACCCAGTCTACCTTTATGTGTATAACTACTTTTCCCGGTTTGTTCGAGCGGTTGTTGCCTTCATTTGTTGTATCTGTCAACATAATGATTACTATTTGCCAAAACAGAACCTATCATTCATTATATACTAGTATCAAATACGCCATACAATACAACAGATCGATAACTAACTTACCCCCGGAATAACCGTAATGGTAGTGTTTTTGTGGAAATATCGTTTGTTTGTTTTGACCAGGACTAATTTTTAATGTAACCAAAAGTCCAATAGCCATAGAAATTCACTGAATTTAAACAGTATTTTATTTACTGCACAGATATTTATTTACTGCACAGATATTTATTTACTGCACAGATATTTATTTACTGCACAAATATTTATTTACTTCACAGATATTTATTTATTTATTTATTTATTTATTTATTTATTTATTTATTTATTTATTTATTTATTTATTTATTTATTTATTTATTTATTTATTTATTTATTTATTTATTTATTTTGTACTACTAAAGTGATCACTCAATATTATGACACTTTTCTTTATCTAATAAGATTTATAATGATGTGCAAAACCCAACGTCCTTATGGAGCTTATAGAGGTTGGTGGGAGGTTTTCTATAGATCAGTACAAAGTGGGGAATTCAACTTTAAGTATATATCATTGCAAACACTATAAAAGTTGTATACATACATTAAATATTATTGGTCATTTACACAGCTAAGATTTTAGAAATGATATACACACCGAAGTATATATTTGGATGCTTGTATACATTGCACGATATTGTTGGTGAGTTCTGGTCATCGTCAGTACAAGAACCAAAACCACGTCATTTCAATAGATTTATGTTGAAGTTATGCTGATGACGCGCTAAGCCCAACTTTCAGACTGGAAGTGACGTGAGAGTCCCGTCACGGGACCGTGACGTGAATATATCATGATGTGTGAGGTAAGGCGCAGTTCAAGTGAATCTGTTATTTACATAATTACATGAAACGCTGCTTGTTTCTATATTTTACAAATTACGAAGAACATTGAATATACCCAATTTAACAAAACCCACGATTTGATATATGATTTTTAATGCAACGTGCAAAGATACAGTAATCATGAAACATACATTCATTTTTTCAGACGCGGCGAGTATAACTCCATGTACCAATTGCATCAATTACAGAATGAATAGAAAACGTTGATGTGTGTGACCACAGTCATGTTACGATCAATCAGTTCAACCAATTAATGGCATTGTCTCCCTGACACTCAATCATTGCTTTGACTGTTACCTATACCGGTCACCAATTACGACCAGCTCCGTAAATCCAGAGCAAGAGCCACAGCGCTCTTTGTCGTCGACTTTTTTTTACAGCTCAGTTCAATCAATGACGTAAGTTTCTTATATAGTTGTACATAAATGATGTGCCCTTTCTTTGGCCTTGCATATTTGCCGCGCCTCACATAATGTCACTTGTATGTCACAATGTACTCGTGATTTCAAAGTTAACCTCGTCATGAGAGGGCGCAATATTCTAGTAGTCTATATAGTCACTCAATGTTTATACTCGATTGTTAGATTTGGGTCACCATATTTCTGTCACATGTTTTTTTTTCTCAGAATGAGAACATCGTGAAAAATCTCGTGACACCAGCGTGTCTTTCGGTTGTCATGCTATTATTGTGAGAAAACGGAACCTTTCTCATACGACACAGCTCAAACCATCTGTTAAAATCGAACCATGATTGAGACGATTGGACTAGACAAGGAACGCATTGTCTCCAAGCACACGCCTGGAATGTACGCTCACACACAGTTCCACTGTGGTTCACACAACAGAAATGGTGAATTCCCATGTGAATTAGTGTGTTTGTAAATTGTACATAGATCTCAATCATTGGCTGGGACACCCGTTTCTCATATCAGTATACCTATCAACTGTTACGACCTGTGGCGTGGGACTTCAATGTTTTATATCCCAAACGCAGTTGAATTACGGTAGTGAGAGATGAACCCTAGACTTACATACACGCCTCTTGTTTGTTTGTTATGTGTTTTTTTTCAATAAAATAAAATATTATATGTGTGTATAAATGATGAAAACCGGGTTACCGGTAAACGCAAGTTTATAGTGTTCTGCAGATTTACCAACACGCAATTTATCAATGGCCTTCGAGATATGTGAAATACCAATGTAATCATACAGATCTCCAAATTGATCGCAGGAAAGCCATCATCTCGTGTATTCTTTATCGCGGTTACTCTTCACTGAAGTGTCGGCAATATTACCGTGACCTGATCATCCCCGACAGTGGAGGACAATATGGTATTGTTGGAATTAATAGAACGAACTTTAGACCAGAATGCCTTGCGATCACGATCTTTCAAAGCTGAGCTCAACCATCTACCTAATCATGGCGACTTGTGGTCGCATACATCAGACCATTTTAAGTTTCCGATTTGTCCAATACATTTGCAGATATGAATAAAACGCTTAGCTATTACCAATATACACTACTACTAAATATTTTAAACAACAATGGCTCATGTTGATCTCCAAACGGAATTGTTTCATCAGATACTGTAGTCTATTGATCAACCGTATATGTTTCCCCCATTGCTCAGAAAATTTCGCTCAAAGCAGCTGAACAAGAAGACTGCGTATCATAAGGTGCATAATAGTTTTCGCTTCCCTTTACAGAATGCACATATTTTTTGATGAGCAGATCAGAGGCAAAATTGTATTTACTTTCAAATATGTCATTATTAAATTGTGGTTCATTTCCCATTGAAATTTACTCAATTTAGTGTCTTTTTTAATTAAATAATGATAATAAACATTTTCAGTGGACAATTTCATATTCAGCTTTACTTCACACATTGATGCAGGATTAAGTTTGTTTTTTATGGTCTTTGTTCGTTCACTGAACAACTTTTCTGTTACTCTAATAGCAGTCATGTTTTCACCACAGAGGGCGCCCATTTTCCACGTGAAAACGTACTACTATTGTATTGTACAATTTATTATATTAGATCCCAAACACCAAAAACTGCCGTTTTCTTCTAATTTTGCCACGTTTTTTGTGCATTTTATTTTTATTTCATAAATTAAGCTTATCAAATCAATGATTCCCAACTTCTGAGTG